GATGAAACTCCGCCGCCACGAGGCGGAACCAATCTCAGGCTCCGACGAAGCTGTTCTGTCGGGGAAACTTCCCTCCGGGAGGGGGAAATCATCACCATCGTCATCACCAACGATCCTCTCATCGGGAGGGGGTCAATCTCCATAAACATCTTCACCAACACCATCTCATCTCAAACCCTAGTTCATCGCTTGTATCCAATCTTTGTATCCAAACCTCAGATTGGTACCTGTGGGTTGCTAGTAGTGTTGATTCCTCCTTGTAGTTGATGCTAGTTGGTTTACTTGGTGGAAGATCATATGTTCAGATCCATTATGCATATTAATACCCCTCTGATTATGAACATGAATATGCTTTGTGAGTAGTTACATTTGTTCCTGAGGACATGGGAGAAGTCTTGCTATAAGTAGTCATGTGAATTTGGTATTCGTTCGATATTTTGATGAGATGTATGTTGTCATCCCTCTAGTGGTGTCATGTGAACGTCGACTACATGACACTTCACCATTGTTTGGGCCTAGAGGGAGGCATTGGGAAGTAATAAGTAGATGATGGGTTGCTACAATGACAGAAGCTTAAACCCTAGTTTATGTGTTGCTTCATAAGGGGCTGATTTGGATCCATATGTTTCATGCTATGGTTAGGTTTACCTTAATACTTCTGTTGTAGTTGCTGATGCTTGCAATAGGGGTTAATCATAAGTGGGATGCTTGTCCAAGTAAGGACAGTACCCAAGCACCGGTCCACCCACATATCAAATTATCAAAGTACCGAACGCGAATCATATGAACGTGATGAAAACTAGCTTGACGATAATTGCCATGTGTCCTCGGGAGCGCTTTCCTTCATATAAGAGTTTGTCTAGGCTTGTCCTTTGCTTAAAAAGGATTGGGCCATCTTGCTGCACCTTATTTACTTTTATTACTTGCTACTCGTTACAAATTACCTTATCACAAAATTATCTGTTATCGATAATTTCAGTGCTTGCAGAGAATACCTTACTGAAAACTGCTTATCATTTCCTTCTGCTCCTTGTTGGGTTCGACACTCTTACTTATCGAAAAGGCTATGATAGATCCCCTACACTTGTGGGTCATCACCCCCCAGGCGCAGCCAAGGCCCATTATGTTCCTTCTGGTCCATAAAAAATCTCCGTAAATTTTCATGGCATTTGGACTCCGTTTGATATTGATTTTCTGCGATGTAAAAAACATAGAAAACACAGCAACTGGCACTTGGCACTATATCAATAGGTTAGTATCAAAAAATGATATAAAATGACTATAAAATGATTATCAAACATCCCGAATTGATAATATAACAACATGGAACAATCGAAAATTATAGATACGTTGGAGACGTATCAACGAGCAGGAATTAAGCTTGGGATGCTGATACGTCTTCAACGTATCTATAATTTTTGATTGTTCCATGCTGTTATATTATCATTCTTGGATGTTTTACAATAATTTTATAGCAACTTTATATTTTTTTTTGGGACTAACCTATTGACATAGTGCCCAGTGACAGTTGTTGTTTTTTTGCTTGTTTTTTACTTCGCAGAATCAGTACCAAAAGGAGTCCAAACGCAACGAAACATTTTGGAGATTTTTTCTGGACCAGAAGACACCTTGGGGGCCAAGAAAGCACCAGTGGAGATTCCCGTGGGGACCACAAGACACCTGGGCGCGCCCAGGTGGGTTGTGGGCCCCACGGAGGTCTCCTGCACCGCCTCTTCGCCCTAAAAATTCCGAAATATTCCAGAAACCCTAGGAGAGCTGACGAAACACAATTCCAGCTGTCGCAAGTTTCAGAACCACGAGATCCAATCTAACACCATCACGAAGGGGTTCATCATCCTCATTGGTGCCTCTTCGATGATGCGTGAGTAGTCCACCATAGACCTAAGGGTCCGTAGGCAATAGCTAGACGGCTTCTTTTCTCTTTTGATTCTCAATACAATGGTCTCTTGGAGATCTATTTGATGTAAACCTTTTTTGCGGTGTGCTTGTTGGGATCCGATAAACTTTGAGTTTATGATCAGATCTATAGCCATGAATAATATCCAAGTCTTCTTTGATCTCTTATATGCATGATTATTTAATGCATCGTATTTCTTGTTCGAATCTTTGGTTTAGTTAGGCCAACTAGATCGATTTTTCTTGCCATGGGAAGAGGTGCTTTGTGATGGGTTCGATCTTGCGGTGTCCTCTTCCATTGACAGAAGGGGCAGCGAGGCACGCATGTATCGTTGCTATTAAGGATAACAAGATGGGATCTATTCCTACATGAACAGATCTTGTCTACATCATGTCATTGTTTTTATTGCACTATTCCGTTTCTCCATGAACTTAATACACTAGATGCATGTCGGGTAGCGGTCGATGTGTGGAGTAATAGTAGTAGACGCATAATCGTTTCGGTCTATTCATCTTGGATGTGATGCCTATATATTAATCATTGTCTTGGATATCGTCATAATTATTCAATCTTCTATCAATTGCCCAACAATAATTTATTTACCACCGTGTGCTATTTTTCTCGAGAGAAGCCACTAGTGAAATCTACGGTCCTCGGGTCTATCTTTCATCATATTGCTTTTAGATCTATTTTTCACCGCTTTTGTTTTCATATCTGTTATTCTAAAAATCCAAAAATACCTTGTTGCACTTTTTTTTAATTTATTTTACTTTGTGTTTTTGCAAGATCTATTTGTCCAAAAACATACAAACAAATCTATCTTTTTATCGAGGAGGGATGACAACCCCTCTTACGCATTAGGTTGCGAGGATTTGTTCTTTGTGTGCAGGTCCCGTTTACATAGTGTTGCTTGGTTCTCCTACTGGATTGATACCTTAGTTTCATAACTGAGGGAAATACCTATCATAGATGTACTGCATCATTTCTTCCTCTTTGAGAAAATACCGACGCAATTTCAAGCCACATCAGCCATCTTATTCGAGTAGGATTGATTGTGGCCTGGGTTAAAGTAAACAATAAAATTTTGATGTGATTTTTAAAATTAAGGTGTAATTAAAATTGTTTCTGGAATTAGTTACAACTAATGTAATTAAATCAATTACAATAACACTATTAGTAATGTCTTTATTTTCTTGATGGTGTGATGGACATATCATCAGAGTGAGGTGAGACATGATTTTATAAATAATTTAAATATTAGATATTCAATAGCGCACAGACATCATTTAGTTACCCTAAACATCTATCTCGAAAAAAATACTTCTATCTTCTTAAAAAGAAAAGGAAAAAAAACTTATCTAGAAAAAACATCTTCCATTAAGTGGGTTTGGTTCTCTTCTAATTATCTGCAACCCTTTCATTTCCCACTTAATGGGTTTGATTCTCTTCTAAATTCTCTCCAACCAAACAAGTTGCATATACAGACAACCCAAAAAAAACTGCATATAGACACGTCGGCCCCAGAGAGGCATGCAGGGACCCGAGATGTACTCCTCTGTGGATTGGAAACGATTTTTTTTTTTTGAATTAAGGGATTTCTTTCCAATCCTATATAGCACTTGATCCTCACTAGCTAACTTATATATTTTGACATCAACATGAAAGCATTTCACCTCACAATGGGATAAGGCCTACGTTCCTCAACATATAGTCATACATGATAAAGATCCACCACAGTATTTTTATTCAATTATTCTACTTGTATTTAATACATACTCCTTCCGTCCCAAAATATAAAAACATTTTTAACATTAATGTAGTATCAAAAATGTTCTTATATTATAGGACAGAAAGAGTAATTCATAACTATACATAATCAAATTCTATCTCTGTATTAAAATATTAAAAAAGGCTAAACTATCCTACAAAACATTTTACATTTAATAAGAAGGAAATATAGTAAATATACTGAGTAATAAATTATATATATATACTCCAATTTTTTTTAAAAAAAAATTCATTCAACTATTTTACTTGTATTTAATAAATATTTTAAACCATACATAATCAAATATAATAAATTATCTCTATTTTAAATTTTTAACTCACATGTCATTTCATCAACCAATTCTCAATTTCCCATAGCAACAAGTTGAGTATCCTGTAATTTCACTAATGCACGATTGCTGACCCGACCCTACTTGTCACCTGTACTGTATTGTAGAGGATCTCAACTCAAAAACGAATTTGAGCATCCGGTTGCTCCACACCTTATACAAACATTAAATTCAAAAAATACCCAAAAAGATAGAAGGATCTCAACTCGAAAACAAATTTGAGCATTCGGTTGCTCCACACCTTATACAAACATTAAATTCAAAAAATACCCAAACAATAAATAGAAAACTTAGATTTTGTTCGAATTTGAGCATCCGGTTGCTCCACAGCTTATACAAACATTAAATTCAAAAAGTATACAAAAAATAAATAAATAAAACTTAGATTTTGGAATATCAACCTGGTTCCCGATCTACTCCCATATGAAATTTGATGAAAAATACCATAAAATGTATTCGTGGCAAAAAACAAAATTTCCTATGTATAAAAAACTGTTTGGTTGGATTTTTATTCGGACAACATTTTCTTCGGCACAGAACATCCCACTAGTCGATTGAGAACCCAGGTATCATATCCTTAATTTCTGATTTTTTGATTTTTCGGTATTTTTTACATTTAATATTTTTTAAATATTCGTATAGGTGTGTGGAACACCCAGAAGTTCCTTTGTAATTTCCGTCTGAACCCTCAAAACTACACTCTAGTTTCACTGGTACACGGTTGCTGAGTAATATTACAGCCACCTCCCAAGCTCAAAGCACAGCCAAAATACGCAGCCAAAACAAGATAGACAGCAACACAGCGGAGAATACGACTAAAATTAGAAAGATCAAAGAACCAAGCTTCGTCATAACAAAAAGAGCCATGATAACGATTTACATCACAACAGGGCCATGAGAACGACGATCTACATACACCTCTACGCCAGCATCGCGGTCGATGTAGAAAGGGTGGCCTATAGGCTCTACAGGACGGCCACGGCAGGGTAGTCATCGTCGGTATCGGCGTCGGCGGCAGCATCCTCCTCCCGCAGCGCCCGCGCGATGGCCCTCACCGTCGCCGGGCCCGTCCTGCAGCACCCTCCCACGAGGGAAGCTCCTGCCTGCCTCCACTTGCCGACGCACGACACGAAGTCCGTCCCCGCAACACCACCACCAGCAGCAGCCGAGTCCTGCAACGCACGCACCAGCGAACGGTCCGTGATGCAACGCAAACGGGCATGATCGAGGACATCTATCTGCAGCTGTTGCCAAGAGACGGAGAACTCACCACCCACTCCTTGGTCTCGGCCACGTACGTCTCCCCGGTGTTGGGGTACACCACGATCGGCTTGCTCGTCACCTGCAAGTATAGAACAAGTGCACGCGATTAAGTTGGCAGTACACGTGAACTAGTAGTATGCAGCGTGAGACGCAGCCGCGCGTATTCACCTTGCTAATGGAGAGGACGAGGCCATGGATTAGCCTGGGAGCCGTGCAGTTTATCCCGACGGCGGCCACCCTCCTGCAGGAGTCGGCGACGGCGGCGCACTCGGTGATGGGGTCACCGCTCGCCGCGTTGGCCCCGTCCTTGGAGGTGAAGGAGAACCAGGCGGGAATCCTGATGTCGTTCTCCTCCAACAGCTCAGCGTAAGCCTGCAATTGTGTAGCAATAAGTTGATCAGTTCATCATGGACTGCTCACAACTAGCTAGTGACTACTCCCTCCGTTCTAAAATAGATGACCAAACTTTGTACTAAAGTTGAGCCATCTATTTTGGAACAGAGGGAGTAGTTATTAAGCATACGTGCCTGTGCTTCCAGCTTGTTTGGGATGGTCTCGAAGGCGATGAGATCCGGCCCTGCGTCCGCCAGCACCTGGAGCCGCCTCCTGTGGAAGTTCTTGAGCGCTTCCTTGGTGACGGATCTGCCATAGTCCCCGCTACGTGCACACATACATAAACATCAGTTAACTGATCAATCAAATTCAAACATGTCCAGAAGAAGATGAATGGACGGTGTCTGCTGGGATTGATCGGTACGTGTACTCGGAGCCGTCCGCGAGGTACGCCCCGTAGCTCCCGACGGAGGCCGCCACGAGCACGGGCCGGTGCGCTCTGGACGCCACGCCGTCGTACTCATCGCGCGCGGCGTAGGGGCCTTTCGACCGGCCTTCCACGAAGATGGCGCGCGCCTCCTGCGCGATCTGCACGCTCCGCCGGAGCAGCGCCTCGCCCTGCTCCCTCGACACGCCTCGCGACTGGAACCCCTGCAGCGTGGCCTGCGACACCACACGCGCACGCACCGCGTCATCGTGTGTGCACCAGAGACAGAGCATTGGCTTGGACGGGGAACGGAGGAAACGTGGGCATGTATGTACCTGGTAGGAGGCCGTGGTTATGATGTTGGCGCCTGCGTCGAGGTAGTCCAGATGGACCTTGCGGATGAGGTGGGGAGCGGAGACGAGGCACCGGGCGCTCCAGAGCTCGTCCTGCAGGTCCGCGCCGTGCGCCTCCAGCTCCGTGCCCAGGGCCCCGTCGACCACCAGCCACCCGCCCGCTTCCCGCAGCCACCGCCGCAGCGCGTCGTCGTGTCCGTCGCCACGCCCCATGGCAGCCGGCCGATGTCGGTCGTTCAGCACCTCTAGCTAGCACACACGCCGAGCACGTAAACGAGAAGGCAGGATATCGAGAAGGGGGCAAGTTTGAGGGAGTAGTGGTACGCCGAGATGAGATGACGATCGATCGCGCAGTCGCGGTGGAGGTTTTAAGACTGGGTCCGGACGGCCCGGGCGCCGCCCAGAGGCCTTGGGCTGCGGCACGTAGTATGCTGCAGCGGCGGCCGGGACAGCACGCGGCCACCGCTCGAAGCGGCCACGCCGATAGGCTGGAAGATACGTGTCGCTGTAACTGTTTCACGTCGTACATGCGCGCGGCCTGCGGTGTCGTAGCCCGTGTGCGCCGCGCGGTTCACCCAACCGGCAGGCAGTCTAACAGCGTGGCCGGGAATGCGGCGGTTCAGCAGAATAAGCCCAGGGTTTTTCTTTTCCCGGTTGCATGGGTACACGTGGGGTTGCAAGTTGCAACGCACCTACGTTTCTGCACTGAATTAACGAAGATGGTTTTATTATTTTTGACAAAGTCAACACTGAGAACCATTTGATCTGAATATTGAGATTTGTGCAAATGCTACAAAGAGATAGAATCTTTATCAGACAGGTGTGAATGTTAACTGAAAAAATAGTTTTTTTTTTTAGAATTATGGTCGCTCTTAATGAACAGCTCCGGTCGGTCTGAAAAAAGTGCTGGCCTTGCAAGATCAGAGAGGAGATTGGCCTGTTTTTGCAAAAGTTAGAACTACGAACCCTCTTTTCTGTGGCAAAAACCTCTATGAACTGGAAGGAGCATAACTAGCAAGTTTTACTTACTAATAGCTGTACAGGGTATTAGACCTGCTCCGTGTACAATGCAATACTGATCGAAGCAACATCCCTTATAATTCATAGTACAAAACAAAACTGCCTACAGTTGCTCGTTTTCCTTTTGATTTTCCTTTTTCAGGTAAACTGCCTACTCTGCTCAGTGGGACATCCCAACTAGTGGTCGTTCTTTTCTCGCTAGCTGACCGCATCCTCCCCTAAATTACAGAAATGCTATAGAAGTCAACATGTAGAATCCAGGAAAGTAACACTGCAAGCACAAAGAAACATCTAGTTATTACAGTCCAAATATTGCACCCCCTCCGTCCCCAAAATAAGTGTCTTGGCTTTAGTTTAAATTTGCACTAAAGCCAGGACACTTCTTTTTGGGACGGAGGGAGTGGGTATCAATCTCTATAAAAATTATTGTAGAATATATGACGGCCTAGAGGGAAAACTCACGTCATTGGACAAAGTTTGCTGATGGAACGTACCCACTTAACTTCCACCCGTTCAAGATTAGATCAGTTTTCGCAGATGATGCATGTTGCTGCAGGTTCAGGAGTTTAATGCTTTCTGACAATCAACCTGTGTGCAACCCAAAAAACTTTATGAGGTGCACACTCATCCAGCAAAGTTTATTAACAAAAGATATGTTAGATAATTAAGGAAGAGTGGGGAACTTGGCAAACTTAAGCAGACACTAATTAAAAATCAATAACAGCACAGGCAAAATAATAAGAACGGCTTGATGGCCAGAAAACACTAATTAGACTGCAGCATATGGTTTCGAAATTGAACGGCATTCGAGCACCAGTACTAACTGGGTGGCACCAATGTTCCAGCAAGGAGATGCATTTGGATGAAATGCCCTATAATGCCCCCAGAGTGTCAATTATGAACTAAATAAAAGAATAAAATGTTGCAGAAGCAACGCCAATAAAAATATTTTAAATCAAAACCAAATAAAATGATCTGGAAATTAGAGAAATACCGAAGTTGAAGTCTTCGTCAGCTCCCTGATAGCCATCGTAGCATAAGATGATGTCGGTAGAGTAAAACTTAATTTTACGGCAAGCTCTGGTAACAGATCTGAGCTGCCAATAGATTCGGTCTCTGCTAGGATGGTTGCTCCAGAGGTGTCCAATGAATCATCATGTGACGCCCCTGTAGATAACAGTTCATTTACTTCAGATGGCTTGGCTTTGGATAGAACATCTAAGTCAGTCTCCACTAAGTGTATTTTGTCATCTGTGTAAGTCATGAGGTCCCTGCAGTATTAAGAGACGATTTAACTGAGAAGTACAAGGTATCCTGCAAAAGTGCAAAGAATGATTCAGTTGGCTCAAGCAAATGAACAGATTATTGGCCTAATTCTCACTTAATTGACAAAGGAGTGGCTATATTGCAATATGCTGATGATGGTACTATACTATTTATACAAGATGATCCAGACAGTGCTAGAGATCTCAAGCTGTTACTGTATCTCTTTGAGCAAATGTCAGGATTGAAAATCAATTTTCAGAAAAGTGAGATGTTGATGGTGTTACAGGATGATGAGAAAGGGCAAAGTATGCTGATCTTTTCAATTGTCAGTTGGGTTCTTGGCCTATTAAGTATTTGGGGTACCTGCTTGTGGGAGCAGATTGCATGTGGCTGACTCGAACTGAAGATAAGATTCATAAGAGGATGGGTGATTGGGAGGAACTGGACTGGTAATCATTCCTGTAGTTAAGATACCTCTGAAAATTAAGATATGGCTGTGGCTTATATGGCATAAGCATCTAAAGATAATATGATTAAGAGGAACTGACTGGTAATCCTTCCTGTAGTTTTTGCTCCGAGACGGAGAGTATCAATCATCTCTTTGGTTGTTCGGCAGCGAAATACATTTGGAGCATCTTGAGTAAATGCCTAGGGGCCAAAACCAGGCATGGATGCTTTACCCAATACTTTTGGTGGATACCACGTTTTATTCCCAGCAGCAGAAATCTACAAATTGTAGGTTTGGCTGCTATATATTGGGCCATTTGGAAGCTACGTCATAGGGCCTGCTTTGATCACAAGCTTGTTAGATCTCCAGCTGAATTCATTTGGTATGCCTATTCTTCTATGCGCTACTGAGCAGGTCTTCAAAATGCCAAGGAACAGGTGCTGCTGGAGCAAGGGGCGACTGCTTTCCAGGATGAGGCGCTGGCCATTCACAACAATGGTGGAGGAGAGAAAAGAACTCAGAGACTGCTGCTGAAAGATCAAGATCAAGATGATGATATGGAGGAAGCGGCTGAGCACGATGGTGAAGCATGAAAAATAGGGGATCTTTGGAGGCCTGTCCTGTTGCTAGTATCGTTTGGAGAGTTGTAACAGTTAAAAAGTTGCTGGAGTGTTTGATTTTGGTGCTCGAGCTTGATAGGGCTGTTTGTGTTTCCCCTTCCTTTTGTTGTTTCGTTGTAAACTAGTTGGTGACGATGTTAGTAGGTCCATTTTGGTTGCTATGAAGTAGCAGCTTTCGTTATTCAACTTGTGGTTGCACATGGATGCTATTTTTTCTTGTTTTGTTCTGTTATCCCCTTTGATAATGGAACCCGATCCTAAATTGTATGGAAAAAAATCCTGCAAAAGAGAAACTGCATTGAAACATCTAGAACTAGAACTCACTGTACAGCAAATATAGTTAAACTTAACAAACCAAAACATAAACAAAGCAATTGATTGAACGAAACAGTAGAATTTTGTTTAAGTTGCACATACCATTCACAGTCAATAGGTCGTTGTAATACACGACGGTAACCTCCTTTCATGCTTGTAATCGAGAATTCCCTTACAATTGAAATTTGTGTCATCCAGCACAACGGTTAGTATGCAAAAATGGATATTAAAATGATATATCCAAAAATGCATGAATATGAATAAGATAACACAGTAGCTATGCCAAAGATACAATATTAGTGACCAAATGCAATATTTAAACCCCTTTTTCCTTGGCCAGTGGTAGGCGCCGGTCGACCGGTCACACGTATGCTGTCCAATTCGCCAAGCGCCAACCATTGGATCCCGCACACTGCATGTCGTCTTCCTCCCCCACGTCTCAGATCTGATCCAAAAGTCAACAGCAAAAATCCCCTTCACCCCAGCTCGTTTTTCCTCCACACCATGCCACATGGGAGGCCGTGGCTGTGCGGCGAATGCGCACCCACCCCACTCCCGCAACAGCTCGCCGTTGTCAGCTAGACGTCGGGCTCGTCACTGCAGCTCCCCACCGGCTGCTACCCAGCAGTAGCAGCCTCGATGCTGGTTGCAGCAGTGAGGGTAGCCGAACCCAGCAAAACGGCTCGCCGTCAGAACACTGGAAGTCGCTGGTCCCAGCAAAAAATGACTCGCCGGTGGGTTCCAACTTCTGCTGCCAATGGTTGCAGCTCTGTCGCTGGCCGGTTCCAGCATCTAGTGCCACGATCCCACAATCGGGTGACTTTCATCTCCGGCACCGGCTGCTGCCGGTTGCAGCTCCCATGGCTGACGATCGCATCCCAGCCTCCGGTGCCAGTTCCAGCGTCCCAAGTCACCGGTGCTAGCAGTCGACGTCGCCGGTCGCCGGTCGCAGCAGTCGACGTCATCGGCTGCAGCAGTTCAACGTCACTACCCTTAGTTGTAGCATCTGTTGCCGTCGGACACAGCATCTGTCACAGCCGGTCTCAGCGCCCACGACCACCGCCGTAGCACCGCTTCATACCTTGCACCGCAGCACCCCGGCACGCCCTGGCCACTACCCTGCTAAAACAGCGTTCTACCGCTCGCGGCGTGGCCAAGACGGCTCGTAGCTTTGCCAGTGGCGTCACAGCAGAAGAACCCCCAGGTGGTCGCTCCCCTCCCACCCCTTACAGCAGCGCACCCCCAGGCACAAGGCAGCGGTTGGCCGACCGGAGTTTGTCGGGAGGATGGTTCTGCCAGGGCGATGAGAGGAAAGAGAAGGGGACTAGCTTGATGTGGGAGATAGCAGAGGTGAGAGAGAAAGAGAGAGGAAAACTCGCGAAGAAGACGAGAATGAACGATAGAGATGGAGAAAGAATACGGAATGGCTCACATGGTTTCTCACAGAGATAAGGAGAGCGAGAGCGGTGGGTGGTGGGCCAGGGCTGACGCGTGGCTAGTGCGCGTGCCACCGGTGCGTGGCTCGGACGGACAGCCGGCTAGAA